CATCACTCTGATAAATCTTAACTCCTCGTTAATGATTTTTATCTGGGAAAAAGCCCCACTAGTTTTTATTCTTGTTTTCCTCCATTGTTAAGCCTCAATATGTTGGGTTTTTTTTTTCGTTTCTTGCACCAAGTAATAAATATTAATGACAAACATCCACAACCATTAAATTCCCCAACTTTCTTTCCCCTTTGTTGCCTTCTTAACACCATGCCTTAATGTGTACTTGCCGTTTAGGCACCGATAAAAGGGCCTGCTCTGAAAATAATAATTATTAGCTTAGTTAAAGTTAGTTTAGCAAAGTGTTTCTGTGCAAATAGTAAATATTCTTTTTATTATACCTTTGTTTTTTATATTTTAACAGCTAAAAATATCTAATGTAAAATAGAATAAAATGCACAAATCTGAAAAAGTCAAGCACTACAAGAAGCCCTAAAGCTATTTAAGCTTATTAATGTAACACCATGACGATTTAATCAAACATGCTATGTTAAGATTTATTTTAAGCAAAGCTTTTGGTTTAAAGTTTGATTGCGACTTTATATCTGCATACGTTTTTTTGTTTTTAAAGCAACTATTAAAATCAGTTTAAAGAGGGTTTTACCTGCAATACTGAAATCAGTTTGTCCATGTTTTTGTGTTTAATTAACTCTGAAACACACAGCATGTAAATGACCACCTGGCTTATGCTATCATCTTCTGACTGTTCATTTATTCTGGAGAAAGAAATAGAAACAATTATTTGATATTTTTTTCTCAGATCATCAGTAAAAAACAAAGACAAAAAAAAAAAAAGGTTTAGATCCATTTTCTTACAGACTTACCTCTAACTGTGAGTTTTGTGGTGCATTCTGCTCTTCCCAAAGAGTTTTCTGCAACAACCTTGTACTCGCCAGTATCTTTAGATCCAACCCTCAATATTAGCAGAGAGCAAACTCCACAGGTGTTGGAGATGAAGTAGTTGGTGTTGGTATTGAGGCTGATGTTGTTGCGGAGCCACGTCACGTGAGGCGTTGGGTCTCCTTTTATGGCACAACTCATGTAGCATTCGTACCCTTGCGGAGCGGTGTGCATTTTCAGGGGAACGAGGAATTTGGGAGGACACTGCAGATCACAGGTCTTTGACTCGGGCATGTTCAGAGTGAACTTCTCTGTGAAAGCCAAAAAGAGGTGAATCCAGTCAGAATCAAACAGCTGAGTGTTTTAACACTATCTCACGGTGGTGCACGTTGAGGAAAAAGTGCCCAGGTTTGTCTTATTCATCCCACATTGCAACACCCAGAGTCAGCATTCGAAATTGAATTGAAATTAACTTGAGATAAATTTAACTGGATGTATAATGATCCTTTTCAGGCTGGAGATTAAATTACATTGATTTATGAATGCCTCAATAACCTGCATATTGAGATTATTCAGCACAGGTAAAAGTTCAATTTTAATCAAATTTTTATTTTTTTGTTTGTTCATGTGGCAAATATAATTTTTTTTTTTGCCATGATAATTTTACCATCATTTGCAAACATTCGATGAAATTGAATAGTTTATTTTATTTGTTAATTTTATGTAGTATATCAGTCATGACAGAGTGAATAAACAGACATCTTCTAAGTAGGGAAGCCATAAAGGTAAGGCACCAATTCAGAGTGAAATCAATTACCCAAATACGTTTAAGAGTATAGAGAACTGAGCTTCCACTCGGTCATATGCACAGGCCACTTTATCTCAAAAACGAACCCACTTGTACTGTTCAAACTTTGTGTTAAACACTGAGATAACTTCAGTCTAAGCAGCCTGATCGTATTTCATCTTGTTGGCTAAAAAGATGAAAGCTTTTCATTCATTATGAGCCATGGCCCCCTCTGGTGGCTGATTTGGAACAAAAAATAAATTTTGGCTATCATGAGTATTATGAACAGACTCTAAAATTCAGCAAGAGGAACAGGGAAAAAAAATCTGACATGTTTTTTTTAAACTTTCTTCAATGTTTCATTGATAAAAAGGAAAAGATGAGATTTTGATAATACACGGTAAAAACTCAAGAATCATGTGACTGCTTACAAACGGAATATAAACTGCGTGCATGTATCGGTTCATGTGTAGCTTGGTTTTCCAAAGCCCAGACAGTGTTTGCAAACTGTCATTTCTGTACAGGAAAGTAGCAAAACAGAAAAATGACAATATTTCCAGACTTCTGAGTCTTTTCAGCTATAAAAAGCCATCATTTTATATTCAGCAAGTAATTCTGGAATGTAATGAGTTTTCTTAGGAATAAAAAGAATGTAATTCGGAAATGAAAATTGAAGCAATTATACAGACTGTTACAGTAAGTAACTGAATACGATAGAAATCAGTATTTTTCTGTTAAATATAGAAACTAACCTGTGGCTTTTTATTTGTTGGATGAGGACAGAAATAGTACGGTCCATTTAACAGTTTTTGTTTTTTGTACTGACTTGTACTGTAATGATTTTTTTTTTCTGTCACACCCAAGACAAACCTGGAAGTTTCTTAGTTTTTCTTTTCTTTTTTTTACCTTTTTTGGTGGTAATCAGCCACTTGGGTGATTCTGAGGGATTGGAGGAGCCCATGTCGTTCTTCGCATATACTCTGAACTGGTATTCTCGGCCCGGCATTATGTTGCAGGCTGTGAATCTATTGTTGAAGATTCGATCGGCAACAGTGTGCCAGCTTCTTTTGTTTGAATCCCGCTTGGTCACCATGTAGTGTAGCCTGTCGTCACGCTTCTCATCTGGAGACGGGGTCCATGAAATGGTGACTGTGCCGGGCACGTTTTCATCGATCTCCACAGGACCTGGCGGCTTTGGCTCATCTGGAGTTCAAACACACGCTGTATTTTTTCCTTCCCCATTTTTTTAACCACAGTGCAGTATATTACAGTCGACTATTACTGTACTAATTCTCACCTGTGACTCTGATCTCAATGCTGAATGTTTCCTGGCCAACAATGTTCTTTACAACGATGGTGTAAATTCCGGTATCTGAGCGCTCAGCTGATGGAATCAGAAGCTGGGACATACCCTCTGCATTGCTGATGGTCACTTTTTTAGACACTGGTACTCCATCTTTCAGCCAGATTACCTCTGGCCATGGAGAGGCCTGTTTAAAAAAATGAAAAACATGATTTTCAGATTTACGAAGATAACATAAGGCCACCATAGAAACATTTATTGAGATTATTGATTTGAATTACTTTCCAGATTACCTGAAAATTGATGTTGAATCGTGCAGAATTTCCTGCTCTCACCACCATAAAACTCTTGATTTTGGCATCTGTGAGCCTGGGTCGCACTATAAAGGCAGTAAAGGTTGATTAATATTTATAACATTTTCTTTTAAAATACATTTTTTTTTTAAATTAAAAATATTACTCCTTTGTATTATCTTCAATTTGTGAACAGCTGCTGGCAGTGATTTGACATCATATAAGATAGAAATCACAAAGGGTTAAAAAAATATATTTTAAGTGGTTGACTTTTGTAACTTTTCTTATGACAGTGTATGTACTATTCTTAATCAAAAACCTTAGACAACATAAAAATAATTAAATGGACATAATTAAATATCTATCTATTACCAGGCTGCTGGGGACCTTATTACAATTTCAGTGTTATTGTCATAGGATAATTAGGATGATGTTAATTTTTTATATCTGTATTCTTCCCATGTCTATTTACTTGAATCAGGTCATATTTATCCATAATTAAAGTGTGTGCAATTGTTGGATAAATTCATTACCGCTGCTTAAAAGGGCCAAAAAAGTTATTTAATTAGCATTCAAATGTCAAGCCCTCAGATGGAAGCAGCCTTTTTAAAACTGCTGTGACCATTGAACAGTTCAGCATATTTCTTTGAGGAAAATTTCTCATTCAGACTAAAGAGATAATATATAATATGAAAGTTGATATTAAATTAACAGAAACTGTAATCCTTATTTGTCGCCACGGATCCATAAGTGCGGCCTTTCTGAAAGATCCATAATACATGGTGTTTGGGGTTCAAATATAGCTAAATGGGAGTGACTTGATGTCGCACATGGAAATAAATAAACGTGTATTTCTGCCATTACAAACGAGCCTGGACTGACGGCTGCATTGCTCAGTAAATATTGTGCAAAAGGCTTAATGTGTAATTTGCCACTGGTACATATAACTGTTCCTAAAATTCCAGAAACTGTATTAGATGTAGCAACAAAATTAAGGTGCAATTTTACTTACCAGGAGGAGGCATAGCGAGAATGTAATTGTCCAGCTCCTGAGGCTCCCCCAGTCCTCCGTCATTAACAGCAATGACTCTCACCCAATACATGGCCATTGACTTCATGCCCTTTATTGTGTATGTAGTCATGGTTATTGCATTTGTATTGCATCTATCCCACTCTGTATTTTCCGCAGGCCTGATCTCCACAAAATATCCCTTGGCTTCATCTTCAACCCCCTCTGTGATCTTGGGTTTATTCCAAGACAGGGACAGCGTTGTGTAGGTGGAATCTGTCACTTTCAAGTCTGCGACTTTAGCAGGAGGCTCTGCAACATGCAACTCGGTGTCAGTTGTTGTTATGTCACACTAATACTCAGCGCGGTCTCATAATGTCGCTTGAAATATGTAAAAAAACATCCACCTACTTTTAGGATCTCTGGCAAACACAAACTCGGACGGTGAGCTAAATTCACCGGCTCCTGAGTTATTGATAGCAGCCGCACGGAATTCATATTCCATCCCTTCAACCACATCCACGACACCGAACTGTTTGCCTAGAAAAGCAATGTGAAAGCTTTAGCGAAGCGTTAGACCCTCAACACTCAAAGCTGTGAGAACACAAACAGAGGGAAATTCTTTGGGGAATTTTTACAAACCTTTGATCATCTCATCTGGTGGGTTGACGGGGCCCCAGAGGTTGCTCCCCTTTTTGCGTTTTTCAAGGTTGTATCCCAGAATATTGGTTCCACCCGTGTTGGCCGGAGGGGACCAGGTAAGATTGATGCAATTCTTGAAGGCACTGACAACTTTTGGCGCCGATGGAGCTCCAGGGTAAGCTGTGTACATGTATGAGAGATTTTTGATAAGTCCGTGGTCTAGAAATAAACTGACGTTAATTCTTTTTTTAATACAGTGCATTGATTAAATATTTGGTTGGACCAACACTTATCTGTGTCTTTGTGTAAAAACTACCCTTCAAACTGGAATCTGATGACATTTTGTATGGATTTTCACCCATTCAATCTGGATGTGGTGAAGCCAACCCTCAGCAGAATTTGGGCTGTTAAAAATTCAGGAGTGTACTTGAGGCCTTAGGCATAAAAAGGCAATGACGGAAGCTGTCTTCCAGCTGTCTGCATTCTGCCATAATTCTTACAGTGAAGAGTTACTTAAAAGAAGAAGTATGAAAACCTGTATAGAAAATACGTTTTTGTTCTTTGTGGATCTACTCAGCTCCAACTACGACAGACTAAAATGTATAGAAATAGTCTGAAGACATTTATGTGAGTTTATTTAAATTGATATCTGGAGCCATACACCCATTGACTATCCCAATCAATCTTTTTCATGTTGATGAACAAACAGAGCTATTTGTAAGATGCACTGTTTATTGTTGGCTAAGAATTTACCTTTTGTCCCAGCTTGAATGTCTTCCGTCTCCATCAGCTCGCTGATGCCCATCTCAGTCTCCACTCTGATGCGATAGCAGTACCTCCTACCATGGTCCACATCACTGTCCTTGTATTTGGCTTCAGTACCGATGGGCCCTATCTTCTTCCAGGTGTTCCGTCCAACTTGCTGTCGCTCAAGGATATAGTGCTGTATCTTGCAGCCACCGCTGTCTTTTGGGGGCCTCCACTTGAAGTCAATGACAGAGGAGGAGGCTTCAACAATCTCCAACGGTCCCATTGGAGGAGTGGGTTTGTCTGTCAGAAAACACGGCATAAAGAGCAGCAGTCGGGACTGAACATATCACATACTCCGTTCAAATGTTTACAATATATCTTTACTTTAGATACACATGCAAAGCTTAGCTCCTTGAATGGGTCTAATACATACCTAGCACAACAAGTTGACTGAGGGCCTCGATGGTGCCAAACTCATTTTTGATTTTTATCTTGACTTCACCGCTGTCTTTGCGTTGCAGCTTGAGCAGAAGCAAACGACTGCTCCCTTCAGAGTGCTCAATTTTGATATTACTCTCCTCTGAAAGCTCTTCACCGTCAAGGTACCACTGGACCTTCAAAGGTTCCCGTCCAATAAAGGACATTTTGTAAGCAGCTTTGTGACCCTTCTTCACCGTCACAGGTTTTTGAAATGCTTCCAACTCCTCAGCCTCAAATCGCGGGGGATCTGGCATAAAAACAAAATGTTGTAAAAAAAAACAAATGAGGAGACATAGTGTTTGTGAGTAATGATAACTATTTCTGTAAGAAAACATGTGAGCGGGCAAACGTTTTTACCCTCAACGACAATGTCAGCCTCAGTCTTCCGTCCATCTGCTTCAAACTTATATTTTCCAGCATATTCCTCGGTGACCTTGTGAATTTTCAGCCGGTGGAAAGTTCCGTCTTTAGAAATAGTTATACCTTCATCGGACTTAATCTGAAAAAAGCAAACAAACGTTGTTGTTAGACTTTATTGCTTCTCCAATGGCTAAGTAATGGCACTGGATGATGTCTGCGTACACACTCCTTGCCCACCTCATTTCCGTCTTTGTACCAGATTCCGACACAGTCTTCACTGCTCACTTTGCACTCCAGCTCTGCTGCTTCTCCAATTATTGCTTTGCAGTCAGAAAGGCCAGCGTGAAAGTGAACCCCTGGGTCTGAGAAGTTATCAGCGACCAGTTAGTTAGTGGGATGTGCATGGTGCAGAGCTTACCATCCACATGGTCTTTTAAGCTGTTTCATGTCTTTGTAGTGACTTACAACCACACAAAATGGTACATTCCTGTGTGAAAGATCGCTTCCACTTACCTCACCATTTTTTAATCATAGTTTGCATCCTTTACAACAGCATTGCTGTTGATGAATATCCTGAGTTATATACCCATAAAAATGTGAAAAAAGATATGTGTATATTTATATGACATGAAGACAGCACAAGTTTTCACGAAGTGGAAAAAGAGAGAGTTTAGCTTTGTTTGTTTGCTTGAACTTATCTTCTTTGTTAATTTGTCTTGTTTGAAAGAGGCCATCTTCATTGTAACATTTGCTGCAGCTCTTAAGGTCTTCTGAGGTATTCATTTGCTGCTATTTACGCCCAGTTGACAAAGAGATAGGCTGTTAAGATATGTAACCTTCCTCTGGCATTGTACGGATGGTTCCTTTGCCTTGAAAAAAATATTATTTTGACTCATGTGAATTCAGTCTTCAGTGAAATGGGAGAGGAAAAAAAGAGATTCAGAACATATTCATCCTCCATGGTCAGTACAAGGCCTCCTTCTTCCAGTTATTTAAGAGTGCATCTACCACGAGACAAGCGTCTCAGTTATTTTGTCAGAAGAACAATCACTTCTGCTTTTTCCTCATTTCAATAGTGTAGCTCAATGCACCGACTCATCCTGGAGTAACACTTAAAACGGCAAGCAAGGATATTAACACAGATGCACAAAGAGCACAAACACACCTCACAAACGAAAAGAGAGGACACAGGCCGACGCAAACAAACAGTAAGATTTCTGCTGATTTCCAACCTGTAGGTCAAAGAAATAGAGTTAAATAACAAAAGCTGTTCTGTTATCTCCAAACATGAATGATGATAACACTGTACGTTTTTCAAAAGAAAAACAAGACATTGGATTTCAGGCACTCTCAGGGGGTTAAGTTCACTCTAAAAGGCCATTTAACCCACGAGAGTTGAAATGCAGCCTTAACCCAGTGGGCACACACCTTTTCTGTTAACCCCTCGAATCACTGGAAAAGTCATGTGCTTTTAGGAATGACTTTTCGCTGAGACGAAGCCTCCCATGCAGCATTTAATGCAAGGCCCCGAAGTCTTACCACTAACTGTCTCCTGGATCAACGGGCCTTGTCGTGCAGGGCCCGAACGTTTGCCAGCTGCTGCTGGCTCTCTCCCGTCTTCCCCCTCACCACTTTCAGGCGATTGGTTTCTGCCTGCCGCCGGCCTGGTGCCAGCTGCACCACTGACATCACCTCCACTGCTTTTTGCTTTTCGGTTTAAGGGGATAGCATCATAATCATCATCAATCCAATTTCTCATTTTCTGTCGGATATGCCTTACATATAAGATGAATAAAAAGATAGTAACAGCAACAACCAAAGTGTCAATGACAAACATGACAGAATAAGAATAACCTTGAATTCAGATGAACAGGGTTTTTGGAAAAGATGAAACCCAGCTCATTCGTCTATTTCTCATCATTTTGATGTCATTTGTTTTTCCTCGTAACTCCGTGTGGATGTGTTGGTTTGTCACCTTTTCCATTTTTCAGATGTTTAAGCAAGGAATTTGTAGCAACATCAAGACAAACGTGTCCACAAACATGAAAGCACATGCATTGTGCACAAAACACAAATATAGACAAGTTTCTATATTTATGTAAAAGATTAGAAAGAAGAGAAGTAGAGGACTGCAATGCACAGACATGCTGTACTTATTTCTGGGAAAATATCGTGAAAAGAAAAGAAAGAAGCTCAATTGTGCTCAAAAAGTGTGCCCGCACTCAATAAAATCAGAAATGTGCTACCTGGGTTATAGCACCTGACAGTGAACGCTGTGACTGGGTTCACTTGTGGTGACTGTCCCTATATTTGCCGACTTCTGTGTGTGGATGCATCCTGAATGACTGCGGATGGGCTCTCTGTATGACTGATGATGTAATACGGTTCATGTCGAAGTCACCTGTTCGCCTCGCTTTTTCTAGAAAGATCTCCAAGATTGTTGTTATGCCATAAAGAGGCTCAAATCATTTTTCAGTCCAGCAGCTTAATCAGAAAAGCGTTTAAAGGTTGTTGCTGTTGCGATGCCAAAGTCATTTTCATTCTCAATGACTTTCATCGTCAGTATACTGTCTACAGCATGCCGCCGTGGACATTTCTTACCAACTACAGGCTCTTCAACCTCCGCATTGTTCTTTTTTGGGCGTTTTCCCTTTTTCCGCGATTTTTCGACTTGCTGATTTGCGGTTTCCTCGTCATTGTTATCCCCTATTAGCAACAATAAATGGCAGTTTTACGCAGACTTTATTCATTAGTTTAACTGCAACTTTGTAAGATTGATAGCAAAGTTCCTTAGTCGAAAAGCCACATTTTGAAGTTTTCTTCTGCTGATTAAAAGAGTTGATTAAAGATGGACAGACTTTGATGTATTTTTTCAAAGAACACACAAAGATTACCATAAACATTCAAGACTCAAGAAATTAAGAACTGTCTTGAAAAAAGCTTTACAAGTTATGGACATTTTGATAAACATGAACATTTCTCATGAAATCAGTGAGTTTCTTACCTACGACTGTATCTGGAACCAGTGGACCAGCTCTAACTCGTTTCTTGCGTTTTCCTCCTTTTTCTCCATCTTCTCCTTCCTCTGCCTCCCCTCCCTCTGCTCCCTCCCCTCCTTCTCCTCTCTTGGCACCTCCTTTCCCTCCTGCTTTACCCTCTCCTCCTCCTTTTCCTTCTCCTCCTCCCTCGAGTTCTTCATCGGAATCCTCAAATGAATCGTCGTATTCGCTGTCGTCCTCAAAATCTTCTCCCAAGGCTCCGCCTCCAACTCCTCCAGCTCCACCAGCTCCTCCAACTCCACCAGCTCCTCCAGCTCCTCCACCAGCACCACCGACGCCTCCAACTCCACCAGCTCCTCCACCGACACCTCCAGCTCCACCGACACCTCCAGCTCCACCGACACCTCCAGCTCCACCTGCACCTCCAGCTCCTCCACCAGCTCCTCCAGCTCCACCTTGAGCCCCAGCTAAAGAGCCATCTCCTCCTCCACCCACTCCAGCGCCTGTGCCTGCCCCACCAGCACCACCAGCTCCACCAGCACCAGCCGCTGAGCCTGCAGTGCCATCACCAACACCTCCGGCACCAGCCGTTTTTTTCCTAGTCTTCTTTTCGTCCCCGTCCTTGCCGGCGGCGTCCTTCTTGGCCTTGGCGCTGGCCTTGGCTCGGGCTTTAGCCGCAGCTTTGGCCTCGGCCTCGGCCTTTTTAGCCGCCTGCTCCTCCAGTCGAGCGGCCGCCTCAGCCGTTTCTCTCTCCGCCTGAGCTTTCTTTGCAATTTCCATTTTTTCTTCCATCTCTTTTTGATATTTTTCCTGCTGCTCCTTAGCTATTTTCAGAAGCTCTTCGTCGTTGACGGTTCCAGCCATGGTAGTTTTCCGAACGGCCTTCTTAGACTTTTTGTCTGGATCCTTGTCAGCTGTGACGGATGATATATTGAATGCATTTAGAATGTAAAGCTTTGGAAAGGTTATACCATTATTTAGAGTCAAAGTGAATATCTGCCTGCCGTACTATATTTTTGCATGCAACCGATAACAGTGCTGAGCTGAAACAAATATTAGAAATTATAAAAAGATCTCACCTTCAACCACAAGCCAGGCATTGCATGATTTGATTCCTGCCACAGCAGCATAGATACCAGCGTCCAAAGGCATACAATCCCGCACAATCAACTTGTGGATGAGGTTATCCTCGGACACACTTATCTCATGTTTCTCACCATTTGACAGCAAAGCATTTTTGCCATACCATTTGACCTCACTCATTGGTCCAGTTAAGACACATGTAAAGAGGGCATCCTCTCGTTCCTCTGCTTTCACCTCTTTTATTTTTACAGCAAAGTCCACCTCGGGCACTGCAGGTACAAAAAAAAAAGATCAGATGCACTATGAAATAGCTTCACTACTTTCTGAATTCCTTATTTTGGGTCACATTTACATTTTTTATCAGTTTTTGTACATTCAAATATATTTCAAGCTAATCTGAACAGCAAAATGTAAATGAAATGTTTTATGGAGGGACAAAATGTTTTAAGAACCATCATTGATGGACACTGGAGCTCATGCCTGGCTCTGTTTTTTTTCCTTTAGCTGGAGAGAACTGAGAAGAAAACATTTTAAACCCAAATAGCTAGTGCGCAGGTTTTGATTTATTGTGAATTTTCTGAAATTGACAGAAACAATCTTCTGTCCACTTCGTAACAAGTCTTAATGTTTTATGATCGCTCATTTTGACCTGAAAACAACTAAGCACTCCAACTAAAAACTTCTGTTTCAGTATAACTGCTAAAGCCATAGTTACATCTCCATGGACTAAGAAATGACCGTTAAAAAAAAAGTTCTGCATGAACCTTTTTGGATGAACAAAGATACATACATCCGTTTTCTAAGGCCACCCCAGAAAAGGATAAATGCTCTGTTTGTAGTGGTTAAAGGAGCTAGTTAAGGAATATATAGACCAGTCTAATGATGTGCCTTTTGGATAGTCCATAGAAAAGCTAACCTTAAACCCAACCATAAATTCCTGAGATCAAAGTTTGGATAACAAATAATTTATTTCTGTAGAGCTTCCTTTTCTGGCAGTCATTTAATTTGTATATAAGGAACATACAGAAAAAATATTTCCTCTGAAAAAACAATAACTATAAATCAATTATAGCTCAGAATAATCAAAAAGTCAAATTTTGTTTTAACGGTCCTTTCCCCTTAGACCAGTTGTGAACTCACCTTTAAAATCTGTGGAAAATACATTGACTCCCTCAACATCCACTGAGTAGAGTCCAGCATCATCCTTTCCCAGTTTCTTAATCGTGAAAATGTATTTTTTTCCAACTTGTTTCAAATTGTGCTTCATTCCATCGCTCTCTTCTTTGGACAATTGAACCATGACACCATCCTACCAGATTTGGTCAAATTTAGTTTTTCAGGAATGACAGAAAACAGAAAATTCAATTTTAAATCAGTCAATAAAATAAGGTACTAAGGATGTCAGCTAAGTAAATAAGGAAATTGGTGTAACATAGATTGATAAGTAAATAAATGAAAAAGTCATTGATCTAGTCAGTCATAAATGTTCAAGCAGTTCTTTCCTCACCTTGTACAGATAGATTTTGCTGGCTGGATCTTTAAGATCAATGTCCAACTCAATGGTTGCACAATCGTCATCTTTCACCTCGATAGGTTTCAGCGTGCGGATATGTGAGATAAACTGTGGTGAAAATGAGCAAGTAAACAGATGAAATTAAACACACAGAAAGCATACCAGATCGCCACAGGGAAATACGAACACAGTTTTTTAGAGTTCTTAATGAACTGAAGCTAGGCTCAGAGGGCCATACCTGCGCAATCTCCTCCTCTCGCTCTTTTTTCATCTCATTAAGTTTCTTCAGCATACCACGGAAGTCTGTGATCCCATATTCGGCACAGATCCTCTCATAGTCTTTCTTATCGGCACTCAGCAGGATTTCCCACACCTTTTCATCAGTTTCCATTCGCTTTTGCTCACGTGTTCCATCTGGATTACTGCAGAACAACAAACTGTGTGAAGCCCCACTGAAGTGATCTTTGTTATAACAGCAAGCCTGGGATTTTGTAACTTTTCATTTTTAACAGACCGCTGGTTACACTGACAATAATTTTCTCACCGTTTTTTAAGTTTTTTTCTGATTTCTGATGCATCTGAGGAACATAAAGAAAAATGTCAATTTGTTAGCATCTCCTTTTAGAGTCCTACTTAAAAGGGATTCTTTTAACATCATGCTTCATAATATAATAAAAAATATTTTAAATATATATCTTTCATGATATAGTCCAACAACTCAAATCAAATAGTTAGACATGATAATTTAATGATAATTCTAGGTAATAATTAACTAGGCTATATTCTTGTGAGTTTTTCCACGATTTTGATATCAACGATCAACTTATTCCACATTTGCATTCATTTGCTTGAAGATTCCATAACATTATAAGGCACCGTTAAATACATATATAATTTATCTACCCTGTTTGCTGCTAATATTTGACATCCCAAATGTTTTGGTTTTTAATTCATTGTGTACCTTACCTTCTACTTGACTCTTTTGAAATTCCTTTGTCTTGGAAAATCCAACTGTGAATGAATGATAAAGCAAAACGTTAGTTTTTGGACTCACGTTTGACTCCACAAAAATAAGTGATCCAGAGAAAGATTCCTACCCTCAATAACATTCAGTACAGCTGTACAAATGGCTTTCCCATATTCATTTGTTGCAAAGCACTTGTAGGTGTCAGCATCGTCTGGACACACCTTCGGAAACTAATCAAACACAGTTATTACAATTTCCCTGTCAGGGCATTTCCATTGTTGTCATCTTAAATTGGTTATAAAAGCTTGGCATTTATTGTAGATTGGCCTAATTTGTATCTTAAGCTCACCTCAAGGGTATACTCATGAGATGCCTCATCATACTTTTGCTCACACAACGCAGGGTGAAAAAGTATTTCACCGTTTGCTCTGCTCCATACCACAGTAGGAGCGGGGTCGCCCTCCACAATGGCTTTAAAGATTGCATATTTACCTGCGATACAGATTTCATCAGAGATGAATCATACATGCCTATAATTTTAGAATAGATGTTATTGTCATGCTGTAAATATGTACTATACGAACGATACCGTACTATATATATATATATACATACTACTGTACTATATGTAAATGTACATTTTAAACATAAAGTCCAGCTGTATTTGTGACACAGAGGAAAACTCACCCTCTTGAATGGTAAGAGCAATGGGTTTTCTGACGAAATCTGGAGTTGTCTTTCCTTCTGGAAGCTCCTCCACAAACTGTGTTATCATGACACCGGGCACTTTCGACTTCTTCTTGATGCCTAATCAAATCAAGACATGTTAGAACTCCACAAACTTGATAGTCTCTGTTCAAAACTAATACAAACCAATGTGATACGTAGTAAACAAAAGGAAGGGTGCAATAAGGGTGAGCAGAGATAAATCTAAATAGTATGATCATTTAAAAGAGTAAACCTGGTGTAATTATTCGTGAATAAATGTCATTTGAAACAATGCCACTATGCCAGATCCAAATTGTGACCCCTTGATATAACGGTATTAAACTCTTTGTTTGTGTTTAATACAAATGGAATATTTCTAAATCTAATTTGTATTCTTCCCTCTGGCAGCATAGTTGTAAATGAACGAACGGCTGAGACTGTTTGACCCTGCAAGTAGTTTGTTGACATTTCTGTAAGATTATAACATTCCCACTATTATTTTTGAAAGAACAAAAAGTAAAAGTCAGTTCATCTACATTCCCATCTGAATGGCTATCCTTGTGCACTTGCTTTGCTCTGACCCTTGACCCCCCAACATAATTTACTGGGAGCGATCACGATAGGAAATGTTTGTGAGAACTGCAGCAAGATAATGTCAAACCATTATTCCTACACAGACTTATTTATGCAACCAGCTGGGTGAAACCAAGAAGCTGTTTTTTTAAGCGACGGAACAGAATGGACTTGTGTTTTTGGATTAGGGAATGTGTAATCCTGATAGGAATTTGCATGTATCAGCGATGTAATAATATCAATAAAAATGACAGCAATAATACAAATAATACAAATAATACAAATAATAATAATAATAATAATAATAATAATAATAATAATAATAATAA